GATATGATATAGAGAGTTACAGGTGACTACCATCTTGATACTGTCGTTGTTAAGTAAGATACTGCAAAAATGGTTACTGTGATATCGAACGACAAAGAACAGTGTTACAGAAGGTGTAGAGGTTAAAAACTGGTCACATTTAAAAGAACTGAGGTTGAACGATGGAAAACGCTTCGGAAGCAAATTCATGCTTTCGTAACACTGCTTCGGCCGTACTCAAGAGGAGTAACATCGATTACCTACGAGAATGCCTCTTACACCTCGCCAAAGCAGCACTCCTTCTTTTATGGGGTTCATCTGAAAATTTGATTGACTGGTCTGAAAACGATCAGTTTGTCGTCTCTAAGCCGAGAAAACACACATTACACATTAAAGAATGGCTACAGCAGTTCTCCTAATTGATGTCGATGGAATTTTTGGCGTTCCTGTGTAGCCCCCCCCGTCCCCGTAGTGATATGGCACATACTATTCTTTGGAACTCTTTAAGCTAACGATTGTACCGTTCTGCATGGCCACATGAGGCAATCAGCCAAAACAACATGATTACCGTACAAATGGATTGTGACTGGTGTTCTCCCACTGCGGTTTTCGTCAAGACGATCCTCAGCAGTCCTTCTCACAACATGCACAGTGCACTGGCAAGCTGTAATTCAGTGTGTAAGGTCTATGCACCCAGAATTGACCTCAGTGTATGCCAAGACAAATTCCTTCAGGCGTTATTGTTGTCTCACTTGGTTTGGACTCTGATACTCCTCTGAAGTTTAACAACGATATGTGGAACAACTTGAATTCATTTTTTGTTTTATGCTTTTGTCTTTATTTGTCTCTATTCATTTACCTTTCTCTTGAACTACTGGTAGACTTACAGCTGCTACCTGTTATGCCAGTGGACGTGACTTGGTTGAATGCACTGAAAAAGTGTGAGGGAGCCTGCTTTCCTCGACGGTAGCAAATTTTGCTCTTTCTTGATACTCACTTATCGGTTAGATTCCACGCTTTGGATGTCTTCAACTGTATTTTAAGTCTCAGATTATCGAGAATGTCATTTTATTTAAGGCAGCTTGTGCTCTAGTGTTTAACTGTTGACCATATGGCATGACCCCGGATTGCAGACAGAGAAATAACTTCAAAATATGAAGGTTAACTGCAAAAATAAGCGGTCGAGGACAGTCTATGGTAAACCACCCTGAGTGTTGCCGAGGAGTTCAAGCTTGACAAGTTCGTTCCTGAGAAACATAGCTATGCCTAATGGCAGTCTTATGACGAAGCAAAAGCGACCTGCCTTTTTGAAGAAAAAGGTCTTCATATGACCACTGCCTTGCGACTATAGGTCATTTTGTCAAAAGCTAGAAATGGCAAATTCGATAAATATCTGGACAGAATTGGGGTTCCGTCTGTGATCTTGTGTGAAACATGCCCTCTGCTACTGGGAACTGATTCAGGAACAAGGTGCTAGTGTCTTTCCACTAAAATCGTTCAGTAAATGTCACGCAGCATCTCTAATGGTGCAGATGTCCAGGCCTCAATTACTCATAAAACTAATCGTCTCAGAGTTGCAGTATTGTTCTGAAAAGCTGTCAAGAGTGTCCGTGAAGTATTTCCATGGGCTAAGCATCCCTGGAAAGAAAGTTTTTTCAGTTGAATGAAAATCAAATCTGCTCAAGTCGCACTTTGTATACTTGCTGTCAGCCTAAGGGGAGAATTCGCTTAGCTTAAAACGGGTCTGTCCTTTTGCATACCATGTCACTGTTGTCTGACTCCCTTGGTTGATGCAGTAGATTGTAAGCATTTTCAAGAATGAGAATTGTCACAAATTCCACTACCTCCTACAGAACAGAGTGGATTCGCAGCGCTGATGCAGGCAAAGCGTCAGGGAATATATCAAAAATCAAATTAGGGCTGCCAGCAACACGAAACCTCTTCCAGGTGCGGTTCTGGAAAGAGACCGCGGAGGTGAACCATGGAGGTTGAAGTTACAGAAGTGATGCAGAAACACCTTAGTATCAAGAGGCTGACTTTGGAGTTCCAGTTTTCCCTGTGTTTTCTATTGCTGACATAACTCAATGTGACGCCTTTGGAAATTATTTGAGTAACTACTACTAGAAAAAAAAATAGGCAGAAAATATTTACGAATATTTAAGAATATTTTTACTCACTTATTTATATATCCATCTATCCAATTATCGATCGATTATCTATCTATTTAAGAATCTTTCAATCTAAATATCTATTCATCCATCGACGTATCTAAATTTTCCGTATTTTGAACAGGATAATGAAGTTAGAGTGGCACTAAGTTTTTCTTTCATTCAAACCATTTTGTATTGAGGCACATCGCCAGGATACTTCACAAATAAAAATATATCTTACAATTACTAATTAGTAAATACGCTGATATATATATTTTGCGGACATTGTTATATATTTGTGAAGTATATATATATATAACTTCACAAATATATAACAATGTCCGCAAAATGGCCTTAAAATCTAATGCTACTGCCTGGTTATAACGAGCAGATGTTGACGATCTCCACCTGAGACTATTATCAGATGAACTTAGTGACCGGTGCTTAGCTTGGTTTGATAAAATGGCCCTTAAAAGGAATAGAGTACTTTTCGAAACTTTTCTCGCGTTGGAACCGCCAAATTGTCCTGCATGTATTAGAGGATTATATAAACCATGAAAAACCTTGACTAAGATACATATACCCCATTAGCTTGAGCGAAAGTTGTGCAATATAAATCTACGATATTATTTTTCAAGGTCAGATAGCATATATTTCGGTTATTCTGCTGTTCAGCTGTTGCTATCCTTTTAAGTCATTGACGCAACGACAACAATGGATTTTTCGAAAAGCAGAACTGTTGCAGTTATGGCATTTACCGCGGATTTCATGACTCCATTATGCATTGCTTCACTACTTTCTTCAAGTATGTTAGAAGTCATGATTTCATGAGTGCACAAGTGATTTTCAACGAGTTAAAGTTTGATCAATGTTGTTAAACCCTCGGTGAAATTACAAGAGTAGCGATTTGGATGCCAACCAAGAAACCCTTTGCCTCATTGTGCAGTAGATTACAAACTTCTGCAAAAATCTGACTCAAGGGGCGTTTCCTCGGGGCGGAATGGAACTTTGCTTGGAGTTGGCTTGCTCCTGCGGTGAGTAATGGTTAAACCGAGGCATCATATGGTTAAGAAACTAAAGTTGCACCGATGGACTGAAAACTACAATTCGTATTAGTCTTACTGAGAGTGAAGTGAAATCTTTCATCGTGTGGCATACTTTCTAAAGGGGTGGTTACGGATTATGGAGAAAAGCGAGTGTGGAATCGATGTATCGAAAAATCAATGAAATAACTTTGCCATGACCTGTATACGGTAATTTTTTCATGTACTACGATTGACACCTGTCACTCTCTTTCTTTATCAACACTTTACGATCATTTTTATACAAAGGCAAATACACACACGGTTTAGTACGGTTCTATTACAAACATTCTCTCTCCTGACGCCTGTCTCATAACAGCGATGGTGCCGTGCTTGACCAACCTTTTGTGAAAAGTGGATTCAGAAATATATTCCCGGATTCATTATTAATTATAATAAAATTGCACGAAAATTAGCATGTTTGTGTTAGAGTTTTATCACTCTGTTTATGTCACTATAAATATACGTAACAACGGGACATGACTATTAGCTTGCGTTGGTTTTGTACGCCTTATCATCGAAGTTCGTAAAATTCATTAATTTGGATGTTATGCCTTTGTTTTCGCTGCCAGCGTCTTCGTGCGCTACTTTACCGAAAATCTGTGCTCAGTGCTTTTGGAAAGAGTCGAAACGTAACGTGGTTAATGATGTGAGTGAACGAATGCCGAAAGCGAGGTACTTTCCAGAAACTGGGCTTTTGTTACTGAAAGGAATCGAAATCATCGCTGGCTAATCGAACATTGAGACCCGAACCCTGTTCGTCATCGAGTGTAAAGTTTCGCCAAGTCAAGTCACACTGGCCCATTTGTGACAGTCGATCACATGCGAAGGTCACGTGCGTTTGCGCGGCTTGTTTTACAAATAACACCATGACAACTGCATGCGACACACGTGACAGTCGCAAGCCCCCTGGTGTGCCAATACGGTAGTCTGCCACGGTTTTGCAAGCAACGCTAAGGTGTAAACTGAGTGCGAGAACAGGAAACAACTCTCATAGCCAAATGCTGACAAAAATCTCGATCTGTCGGTCAGTTCTGCTGCTGTCCGGCTCGCCGAGAGAAGCATCAGGCAACAATATTTCCAGTGTCCTCTATCCCTTCATCTGAAGATGA